GGCGCTCAGCCAGTGAGCGGGAACCGGTCTCCACATGGGATCCGAACCCTCGGCGGGAGCGCCGCCACACTCCCAAGCGGCGCACTCTCCAGTGCGCCACCGGGCCGGCCCTAAAATATTACTTTATATTAAGAGGTGATAATCCTGTCAGTAACCATAAATCCCCTTTAGTCTTTGAGTGCTGATTTGCACATGCATGAAGCAAAACTCCGTAAGTGAAGGACCATCAGAAAGTAGTAGGTACTATAACAGGATGTCACTTTCCTGACAGCCAGAATAGAAAACACATCCTGTCAAAAGACAAAACTACAAGAAATTTAAAGATCTTAATTGGCTTTATTTGCAATTCTAGAATTGGGCAACAATTCATTTCATAAAACAGAATAAGTATTCCAATGAGCTGAACAGAAGAGGTTGTTTCATAGACAGAGAAGGGCTGATGAAAGCAGAAACAAAGAGCAGATTGGTCATTTCAACGTTACTTTCCTTGTAGGATGAAACAGGAAATCAGAATGATAGAAAAATAACTGGTTAATTTCAGGTTACTTTTTGTTGTAAGGATTGAAACAGGAAACTTCATTATCGTGCCTATTGAAGTTTGAAACTAGCCTGTTTAGGATGTTGGCTGTTATCTCTCTGTCCTGACTTCTTAGAAGGTCAGATAACTTAGTTTTGGTTTGATGACATAAAACTTCAGCATGGGTGATTTCATTTTGATGTTTAGTCTGGTCTGTTGGAGCCTAATGTGAGAGCTTAGTCCAAACAATAGCCTCGTATAATTTTTATTTAGCACTCCTAATATAAGGGGCACCAGGTAGAATCATTAGGACGGTTACACCTTGGTAGTGGGGTTAATGTAGCCATAGAGTAAAGTGTTCTCTGAATCTGTCTAATAAAACTTAAAAGTAAACCTGGAAAGGGTCAAACTGACCTCAGATAACTACATGCCAAAACAAGGCCCAACACTCTTTAAAGGAACACAAGAAAATCCAGTACTCACCAAAGTAAAATTCACATGTATTGATTTCCTCTGGCTGTTGTAGCAAACTACCATAAACTTGGTTGCTTAAAACAGAAAAAAATTTTCTTTCACAGTTCTGGAGTCTAGAATATGAAATCAAGTTAATCAAGGAGAAACTATAAGGAAGGCGGTGGTATCCAGATGCCCTATTGTAGACAGACTGGCACAGAGAAGTTCCCCAATGATTATGGACCCAGCAGAAGCAGTGCTAGAGGAGAAAGTGCTCAAGCACATGAGTTTATTCAACATAACTTAGTTTGTCAGATGACTTGGGGGCATTATGAATATTTATTATTGGATTGATTGTAGGTAAAGCTGCAAGGAACAGCTATGCTGCCAAACTACTGGTTTGTGTTCCCTTGGTACACTGGTTTCTTCAGAATCAGCTGTGATGATGTTTAATCCCTTGAAAAATAATACAGAGAGGAATTCACCTAATGTCTTACAACAGCCTGGCAGACTGTGCTTAAACCAAGGAATAGTATCTGGAAAGTACTGCTACGAAGACTGAACAATATATGTCAGAAACTAGGCTTGCGAGTGGCATTTTGATCATGATTGTGCCCAAACAATTCAGCAAACTTTGAGAAAGAGAAGGAACTCTGCTTCAAATGTGTGAACAGTGATCAAAGTTTGACCAAGTGGATTTTGAAACATCTTATTTCCCATCTCATTACCAATATGGGCATATTAGCTCAGGTCCTTAAACTACTGTCGCAGGAAGATTTAATAACTGCTCTGTCAGCTCAACATTTGGATTATATTGCTGAAGATATTCTGTCATACCTACATGCCAAATCACTATGTGCAAGAATTGGTATGTTATAGAGTAAACTTCATTAAGAGAGTGGTCAAGACAGGTTTTCTGTGGTGACACTTGACAAATAAAGAGAAAATAGAGATAGTGTTAATTCAAAACAAACCTCTTGATGGGACTCTGCCTCCCAACATTTTTATAGAGCTTTACTTTGTCGTAAAACATTGAGATAATAAAATCTCATTGGAGATGGGAAGTTGTGATTTATTCAGAGTCTACTGCCAAATTAAAACAAGAGAAGCTTACTGTATATAGTAAGATCATCAGAAGAGAGTAAGTGGTCTTCAATGAAAAGATAAGAGCACATTGGATAAAAACACACACTGAAATACAAGCAGATTCTTATGAACCGCATGGTTTGTGTCCTGTTCCTGCAGTATGTTAAGAAAATAGTCATAACCAAATGGTCAGATTTCACTTTCAGAGTGTGGACTGTTGGCATGTTAATCACACTGATTCCTCATTGTGTAGTAAGTCTATACTTTAATGTCAGTAATGGTATTGTGTCAGCATGCTCCAAAGTTTGTTTCTTTGCTTTAGGTGATCTAGCCTCACCAACCATCACCCTCCCAAGGATGCTGATTGTAGAGTTTGATGACAAAGACATTGTTTCTGCATCAGGACATAGAACTATAACAGTATGGAACATAGTGCTGTAAGCCAGTGAGGACTTGAAATGGATGCAAGCAAGGCATTGCCCATTTGTAGTTCCAAAATGGGATGGTAGTAAGTCTGACACCATCAGGTTGTGAGACTGTACTAATCTGGTAGGGCTGCCATAACAAAATACCGCAGACTGGGTATTTTGTTATGGCAGAACTAAACAACAGAAATTTATTTTCTCATAGGCCTGGAGGCTGGAAGTTCAAGATCAAGATGCTGGCAGTGTTGGTTTCTCCTGAGGCCTCTCCTTGACTTGCACACCTTCTCACTGTGTCCTCATATGGTCTTTTCTCTGTGAGCATGTGCTCCTGGTATCTTTTCCTCTTCTTATAAGGACACCAGTCTTATTGAGGAGGGCCCCACACTTATGACCTTATTTAACCTTAATTACCTCCTTAAAGGCTGTGTCTTCAAATACAGCCACATTAGATGTTAGGGCTTCAACCTATGAATTTAGGGGAACACAATTCAGTCCATAACAGAGTCATAGAGTGTAGTACATTTTTACAAGTACTAGCAGGCCATGCAAAATCAGTGTCCTGTATTTGGTTCTATAAGAAGAGAATAGTCAGTGGGTATTATAATAGGAAAAGTGCAATTTTGGACACCTGTACCTACGGAGGGATTGTTTTATCAACAGACTCTTGTGGAAAATTCAGGAAAAGTCTTCAGATGACAGTTTAATGAGCTCCAGATTGTCATTAGTCCACACAATGATGTGGGACTTCCTAAATAATTCTGTTGCCTAAGCTGAGTCTCCCCTGCTCTCCTTCCGGACAGCCACCTAGGACTTCAGATCCATGAGCATACACTAACCTCATGTTTGCGTAAGACTCATGAAAGCTGTGGTAATTTACTGTACCAGAGCCAGGATGACAAACAGGAACAAACCATCACAGAGGTTCCTGGGACTTGGGCATTGGGTGAGATGAATGGAGCACAGTGGGCCTGAAGGTGACCCAAAATGGTCGGTCTCTTAAGCACAGAGTGCTGCTTAAGTGCTACTTTCTGAAGCATGCTCTCTGCTGCTTCTTCCCTGTGTTTTGGTTCTAAAGTGCTGACACGATAACCAAGTTCTTAGCCAAAAAGAAAAAAACTTGGTTTAAGTCCTGACTTACCAGATTACTTGAGTATAATACAATGATTACTGTAATAACACAAAGAAGAGGATTCTCATAGCAAGGCTTTTCCTCTTAAATTTTTATCTAGTGAAAATAAGCTTATAGGGATACATTTTAATGATAGAAGATTTAGGTGTTGATATAAAACATCAAAAAATATGTGTTTGGAGAGAAATTCATCTCAAAAAGAGACATTGCAGTGAGCCAAGTGATCACAAGTTATGCAATCAGATTGTTCCATTGACTTTTCCTCTTTGTAAAACTGTGGACCTTCTGAAGAATTTTTTTTTCAGATGCATCTGCTTAGCACAGAGAAGGAGATATAAAGGTATTATAAAACAATTCTAAGAAAGTAAATGGTGTGTGAGCTTTTTTTTATTTGTTTCACAAGTAATTTACTTAAAAAATTAACATCTGCTATTTTGAAGCTAATCTTAGTGTATTAAATTCTTTTAACCATTTCTCAATCCCACAGTCTTTTATCTTGCTTCTCCTGCTGTGTTCCCACCACCCCTGATCCCATTAGCAAACCTTGAAACAGCCTCAGACTTACCAAAGTACTGCTTTGGTTTCAGCTGCTCTTCTGCAAGAGGAAGTGAATGTTGGGGGTTTTCTCTGTGGTGTAGTTGTGATAAAGCTGTGGTGGTCTTATCTCTCTCCTAGGTAGTGGCTCTTTATGACTATACAGCGAATCGATCTGATGAACTAACCATCCATCGCGGAGACATTATCCGAGTGTTTTTCAAAGATAATGAAGACTGGTGGTATGGCAGCATAGGAAAGGGACAGGAAGGTTATTTTCCAGCTAATCATGTGGCTAGTGAAAGTAAGTTTTATGCTCCCTTCCTGGTTTACTAATATGGTATAACTGATAGTCCAAGATTTTATCATTTTCTACCCTTTAATTTACTGTCTTTTGTAACCTTTGAGTGTGTTTACCAATGGGTATTGTTTTTCATTCTCATGATGCAAAAAATAAAAAGGGGAGGTACTAGTTCACTAGAAAGTACTACATTCTGAGATTGTATTTGCTTCACAGCCCTCTTATCCCAGGGGACCTGCCCCTCTAGCTACCAGCTTTCTTTTTCAGCTCCTTTCACCCTGCCACCTGCTTCACACATAGTTTTGTCAGATCTTCTCTTGCCACAGTGACTCCTCAGTTGATTGGCATCTATACAACCTCCAGTTCTCCAACTCACATTCTTTTACTTTGTATATACCTCAGTCCTCACTGGTTACCTACTAAAACTAAACTACAATAGATTGTTTCATTCTTAAGTAAATTAAGCCTTTATTTGTGAATGGAAAAAAGAGATAGAGAAGAAATTATAAATAAGAGTTTCTGAAAGCTGTAGATTCACTAGTAGGCCTTGAAAGGTGAAAACAGAGCTAACACAGAAAGCCTGAAAATAAAGTAATTTTTAAACCATCATTAAAAGGGAAAAAGTATAGGAATGCTTCTTCAGAAGAATGCACCTGACCAGCGATTAACTTGACAGCATGTTAGGAAAAGCACAACACTCAGGGATCAGGAAAAACAATTTCTAATCCTAGCTCAGCAGCTTATGTTGATATGCCTCAGTTCCCTCCTGTAAAATGAAAAAGTTGAGCTGTATTATCTTTAAGTTTTCTCCCAGAAACTCTAAAATTGTATAGTTCTGATTTAAAATATAATATAGGCAGTTTTGAAATTGAGAACACTATGTTTTGAATTTTTATTCTTTTGTTTCTGCAAAGAAGTAATTGTTATGAATAATGTCCCTGAAACCTCATTTAGCCCAAAACTATGCCTGAACTAATGTACTATTCCTAACCTAAGTTCTGAATTTTGAGAGCAAAAGAGTTAAGGGAAAGGAGGAAAAAGAATTTCTTCCATTACTTGGTGCTAGGAGAGGCCTAGATAAGACTTCTGATCTTTGGAATCCACCTACTACCCTGTCTGCACCCTGGTGCTTCCCAGCACTCCCCTCCCCAGTCTTCAAACAGCCCTACGTCTCACTAGCTCCCTTCCTTAACTAAACTGCAGCCTTATCTACAGCAAACTCCTCCCCTCAAAAGTACAAGTGTCTCGAAAATTACTCATTTTTCTCTCCCATAACAAAATTCATAATTCCCTCTCTGCCACTGCTTTAACTATTTTTCTCTTAGTAAATGACTAATGGCTCTTAGACTATACTAGAAGTATAGTTTTATGTTTAAAAGAGGATGCAGGCTGGCCAGTTAGCTCAGATGTTTAGAACACAGTGTTGTTAACACCAAGGTCAAGGGTTCCAATGGATCCCTGTACTAGCCAGCTACCAAAAAAAGCGTAATGAAGAAAACTTAAGGCAGTGTGGAAGGAAGAAATTTTAGGACAAGTTAATTCCCAGGTAGGCATAAGACAGAGTTTGTCATCTCCCATAAGCTCAGCACTTCTAACTTCCAGATTGCCTAAAATATCTAGATTCCTTCCCTCTCTTTCCCAGTGATGGCTGTCCTGCAGGATCAACAGCAGAGGTTAAGCAGGGGTAGCTTCTGTTTTTTAATCAAGAACTGCCTGTACAATCATAGTCACTCTGAAGTATGTCTTTAATTTTGACTAAGTATTACAATCCATTATTCTTTCAAATACAAGTAGAAATATTTTTAAAAATTTTCCAACTGGCAATACAAAAAGATTATGTATCTCCAGGCAGGGTGGTATTACATGCTTTAACTTTAGAATCTAGTTAGTTTGCAGAAATAACCTCCTGGGCTTGCTAGTCTTAGGCAATAGATATTTGATCTGTAGTGAGTTGGAAATCTAATAAAATTTGTTTTTATTCCATAATAACCAAAAGATTCTGAAGCATATTGTAACGATGGTTGATGGCAGCATGCAGAAGTTAATTTCTTGTCTCAAGTAGTGATCATCCTTTGACTGCCATAATTCCTTATTATATCCCAGAATAATTGATGTTTTCTTTTGGCATCAGTCACTGCTTTTTGAAAAAATCTTGTAAAGGCCAGAACGAGCAAGAAAAAAAGAATCTCAGAAAACCTGAGAATATAATGATTGAATTCTCATACTTCATCAGGGGTTATTTTTCTTTCCCTGTTAGCCTACTTTTTACCTGAATTTAACAAAAACTCAACTGCCCAATTTTAACATCAGAGAAAAAATGAATGAATTGATCTTTATCTGAAGCCAAATATGCAAAGCAAATGATCTAAGGGAGTACAAATATGCGCAGAGTCTCTACCCACTGTTCAACTGAGAGCCACATCCTCTAAGAGAACAACACAGTAGAAGAGATTGGTACCCCATTATCATAAAGGACTTATTCCCTTGGTATCTGAAGGCACTGCAAGGAAAACCATGATCAGCTTTCCTTAATCACATCTAATACCCTTTTCAATAAGAGATAAAGAAACCCAATTATAGAATCAACCCATATACAAAGCCAATTAATATATCTCATAATCTTAGTTTTATGACTTTGGTCAAGTATATTTTAGCAGTTTCTCTCAATACAGAGTTGCTTTTAACCACAATAGATTTTCATTTTAGCCCTTTAAAATCCCCACATAGCTCTTTAGTTTCAATACCCTGTATAGATTCAATAGATTATATAGATTATAATTTTAGATTATAAAAATCTTAGATTTAATACTATGTATAGATTCAATATCATGTATAGACCTGACTCTATGGTTATTCATTTTATACCCTCTTCCCAAATTATTCTCTTTCCGCATCTCTTCCTGGCAGAATCCTCCATGTTCTTCAGAGTCTGACACACTTACCACTTCTTCTGTTGAGTCTTTTGCATCTCCACATCAGAGTTTGTCTTTATTATTATCTGTCTTTCATATTATGTCACATTCTATTTTATATTAGTTACTTGTAAACATGTCTGTCTCCGACCAGATCGTAAGCTCCTTGAGAGCAAAGACTGTCTTTTGATCATATTTTTATCTCCTCCAGCATTATCTATTTGGTAACCTTGCGTATAGTAGATTTCAGGTAAATGTGTATTGAGAGGAAATGAAATAAGCGTCTGCATGACCACATAATAAGTGAAAATGACACATTCTACATTTCTGAATCTTGCTGATTAAAATTTTCCAATCATAGTTTTATCATTTGTCTTTTGATAACTAATGCACAAGACTACACATTGCCATAACAAATAAGTTCTAGGTAGCTTATTGTTCCACCAGGAAATCTAATAACAATTTTTTTCATTTTTTGTCTGCTTCCCTTCATCGTTATTTTTTTTTCCCCCACAGAACAGTGTTCCTCAATTTGATTACCTGAATTCCTTTTTCAATTCTAGCACTATATCAAGAATTGCCTCCAGAGATAAAGGAACGATCTCCTCCTTTAAGCCCCAAGGAAAAAACTAAAATGGAAAAATCATCTTCAGCTCCTCAAAAGGTAAATGTTTTCAAGAATGTGTGTTGCATCTGTACTTTGATTTTCACTTTCTCTGGATAAAATGTTACTTTATTTTTCATGCTTATAATCCTTCATTGTTCACATTATTATTTCTTTTGATCTTGGCACCAACATCCTGAAATATAAAGGCAAATGTTGTTATAGCCATTTTCCAGATAAGGAAACTGATGAGGCTCAGAGAGGTTATAGACCCCCAAGTCATAGCTTAAGTGATGGGACAATAACCCAGAGTGGAACTTATGACTTTATGTGTGACGCTGTTTCCACTCAGTACTCATTTCTTCAACTGTGATAATGACACTGTCATCAGCCCCAGCTGGGAGGTATATATTTATGTCAAATGTCAGTGGAGTCCTCAGAATAAAGATGTTCTATCTCTGGAGTATTCCTTTTATTTGCTAGTGATTTAAAATTTTATGTATTATTTAAAATAATGTATTATTAGCCTGAGAAATGTTATCTATTTTAGTCTGTGCCATCAGATCCCTCAGTTATATTAGCCAATATTTATCTGATGTTAGCAGTTACTTCAGTTAAAAAGTTTAATAAGCACTGTACCATCATATATATTGCTTATTAAACTTGTTTTATTATGTGACATGAACTTTAGCCTTAAACTGAATAACCTTGCTGCTTCTTGACTCCGTGAACTGATTAGCTGTACATTTTTTTAATAAATACATGTCATGTACATAAAGTTTTTGACAGTTGAGCCTGACATGTATATATCATTCAGTCATTCAGCATGTTTTTATGGTATACTTGCTTCCATGCCAAGCACTCTAGTTAGCAGTCCCCACTAAAACAGGAGTGAGTGGGCAAGGCACTTGCCCTTAAGAAGCTCACAGGCGAGACACCTGCAAGCAGACAATTCCAATATACTCTGGTAGGAACTATAATGATATGTGCACCACACATTGGGAACACATGGGAAAAACCCTCTTAAATCTGCCCTGGAGGAGTCCAGGAAGAATTCCCAGAGGAGGAAATGCTTAACCTGAGGCTTCTAGGATTAAAAAAAAAAAAGTATGTGCTAGATAGATGAAATTTAAAAAGCATTCTAGCAGTCTACCTAACTTTGCGTAAGGTATGGTGTATGGTATGACTATGTCTGGGGAGCATAGGGTCTAATGGAGAGAAGGATAGGAGAAATACATGAGCCAGGCCACAGAAAGCCTAGTGTACTCTCTTAAAATGCTTAGATTTTATCCTCCAGACAAAGAAAATCCCCCAAAGGAGCTAACACAGGAGTGACATGAACAGATTTGCAAATTAAAAAGATCATTCTAGTAGCAGCATAGTGGTTGGATTAGAGGTAGCTAAGACCTAGGGCAAGGAAATTAGTTAGGAATCCATAGGAATAAATATTTCCTGAACTAGTGGGAATGGAAGGGAGAGGACATCAGCTATAACTGATAGAATTTTATGATTGTTCGGATTTGATTAGTGAAGTTCGAATCTAAGATTTTGTGTATTATACAACTGAATAGATAGCATAACAGCAGAAATAATGAAATGTGTAAGGAAGATTTGGGAAGAAAGAAAAAAGGAATAGTAGAAAGTAGGAGATGAAAAGTTTAATTTTAGATATCTCAATTTGCCAGTGTCTGAGGTGCTCCCAGGTAGAAATATTCAGTAGAGAGCTATAAATGTAGGATTGGAATTTGAGAGAAGGTAGAGCTTCACAATCAAATAAGGAGGAATTAGTGGATTTGTTGTATTATATCAGTAAGTAGAAGTTCGTAGTGCAGGCGATAGTCCAGAAAGAGTGTTGTAGAGTGCTAAGACAAGGTGGCCAAGGACAGAATCCAGTCAAACACTAGTTTTCAGGGGCAGCAAAAGGAAGAAGAGAAGATTAAGAAAGAATAGTTAAAGGAAAAGGAAAGAACCAGAAATAAGAAGTGTCCTAGAAGCCAGGGGAGAAGATAGGTTCAACAGGACTGTATTTGGAAATAGCCAGTTAGGTTGTCTGAGCATTTGGTAATCAGAAGGACCATGGTAGCTTTGCACCAGTATCAGTGAAGTGACGAGGATTGAAGAGTAGAGTAAAGATTGAATGGTGCCTCAGCAAGTGAACTCATGGTAGTTATTCTCAAAGCTTCACTTTGAAGAATAAAAAAAGATCAGGCAGTGGCTAGAGGGAGACCTGGTATCTAGGAATGATTTTTTTAAATATGGAAGAGATACGTAAAATTATATACTGAGTACGCATAGCTAATGGACATCTTCAGGTTGAATGAAGATAAATAAAAGACACCAAGGACATAGTGGTCTTGGGGGAAGCAGGAGGGTCTTCTTTATTGGAAAGACAGGTTGATAGATGAGCCTTGGCTTAAAGCAGTGCTTCTCAACTGAGAGTGATTTTATCTCTCAGAAGACATTTGACAATGTCTGGAGATGATTTTTGTTGTCTCAACTGCAAGGAGGATGATACTACTGGCATCTAGTGAGTAGAGGTCATGGATTTGCTAAACTTCCTAGAACGCAGAGAACATCCCCCCTTAAGAAAGAATTATCTGGGCCGGCCCGGTGGCGCACTGGAGAGTGCGCCGCTTGGGAGCGCGGCGGCACACCCGCCGAGGGTTCGGATCCCATGTGGAGACTGGTTCCCGCTCACTGGCTGAGCGCGGTGCGGGCGCGACACCGAGGGTTGCAATCCCGTTACCGGTCAGTAAAAAAAAAAAAGAAAGAACTATCTGGCCAAAAATGTCAGCAGTGCTGACTTTAGAGAAGTACTCCTCTAAGATGGATAAGTCTGGATGGGGATGCAGATAAGTTGATAGAATGGAAGTGTAGAAATTAAGGATATCTTTTTGTTCTCCAAAACAGAAAGCAAGGTCCACTTCGAATATGAGGAGCAAAGGAATATGATAGGAGCTCAAGAAGAATAGTAATCATTTGAATACCTATAAGGAAAGTAGGAGCAGGAGCTCATTTGGGACATATAAAAAGATTCCTCAGTAGTTCTGGGAGCTCCTCTTTGGATACCGTAAAAATACAGGTGGCATAAATCTGTGTAGTTGGACTTTTTTCTTAAAGTAGTGCTCAGCATCTAGGGCATAGCAGTGGAGAAGGCAGGTTTGGTGTGATATATAATTGGAGTTGTGGGTGTGACAGGAGAACAAGAGGGTTAGAGGCTTGCTAGCATTGGTAAGAGAGTTACACCATGGAAGATCAGGAGAAGATTGGCAGACTTGGAAAGCAAGGTTCTCTGCAAGGTTGCGGAAAGCTACCTATGCCTAGGTGGATGCATAATGTCATTTGGTAAAGGAATCAGCAAGCTGGAACTACAACATTTAAGGCCAGAAACTCTTTTGCTTATTTAATATTTCAGATGTCAAACAGTTGCAGGTTATGATAAATTCATAGTGTATATGAGAGCTGAAGTGAAATTGAAAGATATGTTAAGAGGGCCGGCCCGGTGGTGCACTCTGTAGAGTGTGGTGCTTGGGAGCGCAGCGGCGCTCCCGCCGAGGGTTCGGATCCCATATAGAGACCGGTCCACTCACTGGTTGAGCGCGGTGCGGGCACAACACCAAGGGTTGCGATCCCGTTGCCGGTCGCAGTACGGGCGCGACACTGAGGGTTGCGATCCTGTTACCAGTCACAAAAAAAGACAGAAAAAAAAAAAAAAAAGAAAGATATGTTATGAAAGTTGTGCGGGTCAAGAGACTTGGATCCAGAGTATTGGACATGTTGTACTCTTGAACATTCAAATTCCAAGATGATAGCAAGAGTTGGGATGAAGAAACTAATGAACTACCAGCTCACATCCTTAATTCTTGTTTTAGAGCAGATGTCTCAACCTTGGCTTCACATTGGAACCACCTAAGGAATTAAAAAACTGAATACTGATGAATATCCCTGCCTCCAAAAATTGATTTAGTTGGTTGAGAATGGAACCTGGGCGTGGGCATATTTCAGAAGCTTTCTGGGTGATTTTAATGTGCAGCCAACATTGAGAACCTTTGTGTTAGAGTGACCACAAGATTCAAAGGTAACAGTTGCAAAGATAAGTAGAGGGTGTTATAGCCAGTTGTTAAGGCACCCGAGGACAAGTGCTTTGAAAGTATGAGGGTATTTCAAAAAGTTTGTGGAAAGATTTGTGTTGTCTTTTAATTCTACTTTTCCACGAACTTTTTGAATTATCCTCATGTAATAGCCTAAAATCAGCAGCAGGGAGCTAAGAGGAGGTCAGTGTTAATTCCTGGCTCCCATGGTTCACTGTTGGATGTGAGAATGAGTAGCCTATGCTGCAAGGAATTGAAAGAAAAATGGTTTCTTGGTAAAACACAAGTTTCAAACATAGCAAGGATATATAGTGATGATTGCCTACAACAGTATGGGGACTACAGGGGATATGGTCAAAAAGATTGGCAAGGAATTTGGCTGGGGGCAAATGTTACATGTGTAATATTACCCATGGTTTGCAATTTGGCACCACATTTAAGAATTTAGGAAGATGCTTGTCTTAGTTCAGGCTGCCGTAACATATATACCATAAACTGGGTGGCTTGGACAACAAAAATTTATTTCTCACAGTTCTGGAGTCTGGGAAGTCCAAGATCAGATCCAGTGTCTGGTGAGGGCCCACTTACTGGTTTGTAGGTCCATTGTATCTTCCCAGGGCAGAGAGCAGAGAGAGGAAGCAAGCTCTCTTGTGTGTCTTCTTATAAAGGCGCTAATCCCATTCATGAGGGCTACAACCTCATGACCTAATTACTTCCCAAATGCCTCCTAATACCATCGTGTTGAAAATTAGGTCTTCAACTTATGAATTTTGGTGGGACACAAACATGTAGTCCATAACAATGCTGATCTAATTTTACAACCTTTTAGACATTTAGTGCAGTGGAAGCATTTATAATATTGGCATAGGGAGTCATTGTGACAGCTAACAATATTTTTAGTTTATATCAAAAACTGAGAGATAGTATGAAAGATATAGCCTTTACTTGTAGTGACATGGATGTCTTTGA